CCCGGTTGTACGAAACCTAATTTGATGTGATTCCAGTGCTGTTTTGAATCCACGGCCGCCACCCAAGGCGAAGAAGTCTAAATGCACCGTTTTGTAAACCTCTGCGTAGACCAGTTGCCGCAGGCAGAGGGAGGTTTTCCGCCACCGATACACTTTAATATCTTTATTTGGCTATGTGAAGTGGCAAAAAGAAGAACGAGCAATCAAGCGACAAATGTTAAGTCGGCAAAGATGAAGGACTTTTCGATAGACGACTCTCGACTCCGACCGAAGCTACTCTTCCTCTCGCTCTAGCATAATTGCAAAAATGAAACATCTTTAGCGGAATCAACAGCACACTCGATGTATAATTGGTGTTTCTCATTTCCAGCACAAATAGACCGATAATAGGGCGCGAAATAACGGACGAAAGCCAAGAGACACACACAAACAACCAGTTGACTGCAGCGCAGGTATGTGTTTGGGCTTGAACCTGTTTCATGACATGTCGCCGTTGTTACTAGTCAATTTACTTTTACACTGGCTGGTGGGTGCAAGTGCAACAAGTAGCAGAACTGCGATATTGTACCTCGTCCACTGGTCAACCTGTACATATCCAGCTCCTCGTCTACTTTGCCGCCGGGAGGCACAGAGACCCTCATCGCTAGCCGAGTATGCTTGAAGGAGCAAAGAAGCACCCGGAGGCGTCTTGTTTCAGAAGATTTGGGTGTCTTTTTGTCTCCTGTAATTTTTTTAAAACTTTTTTTGTTTTTTTTTTATTAAATCTCTCGGTATTCGTCTCTCCCTAGTGTCAAGGATATCCAACCCAAATTCTTTTTTTTTGCTCGTAGATAGCACCAAGACATGTTCAGATGTGTATTGAAGTCGTACGGGAGTGAATTTGTCAGAACCTATTTTCCTGCCCGACATGACATGTTCCGCTCCAATGCATGTGACGTGATGGAATTAATCCATACAAAGGGGGGTATCTAAGTGAAGGGGTTCTAGCATGATGACACACAACAAAGCCAGCCTTTTTCATTGTTCCAAACGTTCTTGCACCCAGAATAGAAAAAAAAAATCACAGCATCCCACACTGAGGCAACTTTTATTCCCCCAGTCCCGGAATCCTAGCCAAACGACTGGGATGAATGCCCGCCGAGCCCTCCTCCCTCTGGCCACCGCCATCCTCCTTCGCAGCCCTCTCCCTCTCGATCCTCTTGGCCCTATTCTCATCCAGCTTCTGGTTCTTTTCGCGAATCTTGTCTTTTCTAAACTTGGTCTTGCCCCCGCCGCCGGCCCTTAAAAAACGGTCAGCATCCCCATGCCACTTATACACGGTTAGAAAAAAAAAAAAGAAAAACTCACGTCAGCTCAACGTTGATCCTGCGCCCCTCAAACTCGGTATGGTGGAACTTGTCCAGACACGTCCTCATGGTCCACACGTTGGCAAACTCGACAAATGCGATGCCCCGGCACGGCTTGTCGTCGTCCTTGTTCTTCATGCACCGCACGGAAATGGGCTTCAGCGACGCAAAGTGCGCCTTGATGCTGTCCGCCGTCGCCGTGAAGGGCAGGTTGCCCACGAAGACGATGTGGCGGGAGGACTTGGCGTCTGGCGCGCCCTCGGCGTCGTTTGATGCCGCTGGTGCTGGTGTTTCTTGGGTGGGAACCGCCTCGTCCTTGGACTTTTTCTTCTTGTCCTTCTTTTCTTTCTTTGGCTCGTCGCTGACGTCTCCGTTGGCTGCTTCCTTGCGCTTCTTCTCCTTCTTCTCCTTCTTCTTGGACTTCTTCTCGTCGCTTACATCCGGGGTTTGCGATACGTCTGCGTCATCTTTTGCAGCATCTTCCTCTTCCTCCTTCTCCTCCTCAGGTAAATCCTGCAGATCCTTTCGCTTATCCTTCCTCTCTTTTCTGCTCTCCTTTTTATCCTTCTTTTTATCCTTCTTGTCCTTCTTAGCCTTCTTAGCCTTCTTCTGCTTCACTTCAGCAGGTTCATCGTCGCTTCTCTTGCGCTTCTTCTCCACTGGGGCGTCGTCGACGGGCAGGAAGTCTTCGGCTGCCGTAGCGGCTTCGTGAGCTCGTTTGCTTTTCATTGCCGTCTAATTACAGACAATTCGTGGATTTTGGGGCTTGCGCGCGTGTTGCGAAGTGCTGAATTGCCAGAACCTGGACTATTCAGTCGAGATAGAGATTTGCCAGAAATTTTAGCGGAGCCGGTACTCCGTACGGAGTGTACGTAGTTTACCTGTCGAGGTTGGTTTCACCGGACCCTTCAATGCTGGCTCGACCCCACCCGGCTCCACTACAATATCAAGGACTCTAGTGATATCTGCATCAAGAACACTTTCAATCACCGACCCCGTACATATATTTTCAGCCTGGCTCTTTGTTGACGCCAATTTCGCATGTTCTCACTGCAGAAATGACTATGTCCTTAGAAAAAACTTGTTATAGATTATTGACTCCTGCAATGTTACAGAAAGGGCGAGTGCCAATGTCTAACAATATACATTGAAAACGCAATCATATAAAATCCCTAATCTTGCTCTGCAATCCATCACAATCGTTGCAAAAAGCAGCTATCCCATATTCATTTCTGATATGCGTTACAAGATGCAAATTGCGAAACCAGCTGCAAGAGACACGGTGCTTATTAGTACATATATGCTGGGGTCGGTCGTCGCCGATCCTCCGGCAAAAAAAGCCGGCATTGGCGTCTCAAAGCCTACGCTGCTAGAATTGTTAACTTCATCACTTGGGCCAGAATTCTGATGACTTGATTCAGAGCCCTCTGGTTCTGATGTACTTGAATCGGGTCTCCCCTCTACCGGACTGTTCAAGGCCAAGGCCAAAGGCATGGCAAGTGAAGTAGCCTGAGCCTCGTTTACCGTAATGATTGTGGTTTGAAATCCTTCTCCCAGGACTGAAGATATGAGGGTGACCTCAACTGGGCTGGACGTATCCTGAAGCGCTGTTTTGTCGTGATTTGTATTAGTGTCATGAGCTGGAGCAGCATGTGCCATTCGTGTCGGTCTGGCCATGCTGGTATCATACGCAGCTGGGCTTCCGTCTTGTCGTCCTGATCCGGAGCTAAAATGTTGATCGAGCGACGACGTCGGATACGAGCTCCTTGATGATCGAGGTTCGTCACCACCATTTCCTTGGCTTGGAAAGTCATATACTGGTGGTGGGGTGCCGTATCCATATTCTTCCAATGGCGGGGTATATGCTGGTGGTAAGGAAGAAGGAGATGGAAAGGTATAAGCGGCCGGTGTAGCGGCAAAGTTTCCTCCAGAGCTGGAAGATGTAGTGAATGTGGAGCTAGTAGTACTAGACATAGTATTGGTGGTACAAGCCGTCTCAAATTGGTCACGAGATGTCCTAGCTATTGTAGATGAGGAGGAGGAGGTAGAGCCGGAATGTGCAAAGGATGAGCTCGAGCTTGGACTACTAGCTGTGCAAGGGGTGGATGTGATACTGTTTCGACTTATAGCCGAAGTCAGTGTAAAGCCCTGATCCTGACCTGAATACACACTGGAACGCGCCAAATCTGACGAACAGGGTGTATCCGAGCTTGAGAGTCTGCTCGTGCTCCATTCATTAGAGTCCAAGGTCCAGGACTCATGTGTCGACGTTTGGAGTCTTGTCGACATAGTCCAGCGGCCTATATCATCAGAACAATCCGTCGTTTGCGTATTTGGGTTATCTGACGGCAAATGACGAGATCTAGCGTCAGTCTGAGACGATGACGAAGTGCAGCTGGATGTCGAATGTTGCGAAGTCTGGGATATTGATTCTGTAGAGGAAGTCACCTGTGCTGGGTGGCGACTGACTCCAAAGTTTGAAGCACCAGACAACGTACACGAAGCAGATGAATGCGTTTGGCTCGTCGTAGACTTGTCTTGTTCAAAACTACCACAGATTGTGGACGTGGGGGTGCTGCCGAAACGGGAACCACTTGATTTGCAAGGAATACTCTGTGTCGGCGTAGTTGTTGTCCCAGAAGTCGTTCGGGGGCTGTCATTGGAAGATTCACAGTCAGTTGTAGAGTCACTCCCATGGCCCCGAGATTCATCCATGGAAGTAGCCGTATGCAGAGACAGTGTAGCTTGTCCGTGAGACAAAACGGCTGTGCTTGGTGTTAACTGGCTAGACACTTTGGATACTTTATCGGGGACGCATGGGCACACCTACTGGTCTTGAATCCATCCGCAAAAAGCAAAGCCTCATCATCAGCCATCGATGCTGGAGCTACAGATGCCTGAGGGGATCCTAGAGACACTGTGATAACGCCATCTTGCCCAGTATTGCAGGTCAAAGCAACAGCAAGGTCGCGTTTCGAATCGATCTCTTGGTTGAAAGCTGTGAATTTGTCACCAGTTTGCGTCTTGCCGGACACTTTTGATTGCAGGCTCCGCTTGTGCTGAGAAGGCCGGCTAATCTCGATGGGATGCAAGGGGATGATATTGACGCCAGTATCACAGCAAGCAGAAACTGAGTATGCCAATGCTCGACCGTAGGATTCAGGACTGCAAAGATTGATGAGACACTGAAAGTGTGCCTATTTCAACCTGTTAGAGCATGTGTGTTGAGATGGGTGGAACAAAGCCTACTCGTTGAAGTTTGGGAGTAGCACAAGTGCTCTTCATGCTATCAGTGAGCAGCCCATGTTCAGCGAGAGACTTCTGACAGTCTGTGACGCAGGCTGATGGGCACGATTAGCCTCACAGCATCTGCCAAACCGGCACCATGATTACCTACCAGGCACCGTTCTCCCTACAACACGTTGACAACGTGCCAAGGCTGAGAACAGCAAAAGTGTACCAATCAATGTGATCCGCATGTTGGGGATGCCGTACTCTAAAAGTGAAAGGCTGTCAAAATGGCTAGTCGTAATTAACGATGGTCACCAAAAAATGGGTAGAGCGAAAGAGGCTGAGAAGGAAATCCAAAAATGAGTGATGGTGTGCCGAAGCGTGATAATGAGAAGGGATAGTTGCAATGAGCGACGAAGGTTGAGGTTGAAGAGAAAGAAAAAAAGCAGAAGAAAACAGGGCCGAGCCAACGTATGATGATTTACAAGCGGCTGCTGTAGTCAAAACATTGAAGGCAGGAGCGGCATTTCACTGCAAGGGTGTTGGTTGCCGAGGAAGAAGGTGAATTCGGATCAACTGATGCGACAGTCTACCAAACACTTTTACAGACTTGTGACCTTCCTTCCACGGGCCCAAAGTCAACCTCGCTTAACTGTCGTCATAGAGTGCGAGCGGATAGCGGTTACTGACCATTCAGTGGCATTGACATAGATTATTCCCAGTATTTGAAGATACGTACAATCAGCACCGCCGAAGAAATGCAAGTCTACCCCCCCTTTGAAATGTAATGGTGCCAACGCCGCAAAAGCAGAAGGGTATCTAGTAGAAGAGCAACGCCAAGGGCTTCTTCTCGGCTCTATAACGCTCCTTGAATTCTGGACGAGTCAAAAATCTGGCAAGTGGCATCATGGTATCCTTCATGTCCATAATGCCTCTCTTCTTCTGGTCGACATGCGAGGCATCTACAACAAGCCTGTGCAGATTATCCAATGACAAGGCGCCTGCGCCAGTGTTAGTGGGATGCAGTTGCAGCCGATACGGCATCTGGGCTCATACCATTGTCGATCAACTCTATCAGACGGGCGGGCGTACCGACACCAATTCCCGTCTTTCTATTTTTGAGAAACGTCACCTGGTCGTCCACTTTCATGTGCTTGGCGAACTGTAACGTGATTAGCATTTTTCGCACGACTAAGTTAACCCAGTGGCATTCATGCCTACCAGCTTCGCCACGGTGTTGTCCTTGCTCGAAAACTTTCGTACAGCTCTTTGATACAGTCAATCAGCATGTCTGGAGTGAGTGTGCAATTGTAGTGTCTGGAGATCACCATACCTGACCATGTCGGCCGCCCTCAGCCCAGCACCAGCGACGATGAGAGTGTGAGGTGAGCCCTTCTTCTTTGGGACTTTCTTGAGAGACTCCTCGCCTTCTGAGAACTTTTCAAGGAAGCCAGGCAGATTCTCGAGCGTTCTATTTTCCTGCCATGAGGTGGTATCTTGTATTGAGTTGGCTATGAGGCTGATTAGCACTGTCACTCTCAGTTCATCTCACCGAATCATCCACTCTTAGCCAACAGACATACCAGATACGGTCAGATCTGAAAGCTCAACCGAGCTGAGGTCGCTTCCGAATCGGCCAAGTTTTTGTGCCAGGTGATCAGCCAGCAATTGGTTGTCCATGCGATTGAACAGTGTGTTCAGACCAAGTTCCATGTCCAGAGCCTCATCGTCTTTTGAAAGCTTGGCCTTTTTCTTCTTCTTTTTGGCCTCGGGCGCAGGCTCCGCGGCGCGCTTCTTCGAATTCGACATGATGAGCCAGGAGCAAAGGACTATACCGTATTCCAAATAGAAAAGTGCAAGCCAGTTAAAAGGCTAGGTTGGTCTTTCTGGTCAAGGAACGTTCATGTCTTGGATCGCTCATCAGAATTTTTGAGCAGCCAACACTGGCAGCGGAGTGTGGACTCTGTGGAGTCGGCTTCATCGACCAGACCAGACGCTAGCCAACTAACTGGTCGTCGAAATTAGTGGGGCATTTTCCTACATGTATGTATGCACATGCATGTGCAGTTGCATACTCCGTGGTGGTGTTTGAGATGGTGCTGCCTCCCTTCCAGCGTTGATGAAGTGAAGTACGGAGTAAATACGTGCATATTTGGAGGTCCATATCTGACGTGGCATCAATTACTATTTGAGAAAACAGTGCGATTCAATTTGACTGTGAAACCTCCGGATATACTGATGCCAAAAAATATATGCCACATTGCCCAAACGCCAAACATCATAGCCCATTATACCCACGTAGATGCCTATATCTTCCTGCATCTCCATCCAAGCTCTAAAAGATGCTGTTGACAATATTACCACCAATAGTGGCACCCGCACCGAAAATGGCAGCATTGCCGAGCTTCTTGCCAAACTTCTTACCATACTCTCCAACTTTGCTATCTCCGCCTTGCTGTTGTTCTCCGTTGGCAGGTTGCCCACCCTCAGCAACAGCCATGGGCGGCACATTAGAGTTGTACGGGTTCTGCTGCTGCGGTGGACCCTGTCCAGGAGGGGGATATCCATACTGAGGCTGCGCGTAGGGGGCGGCAGCGTACGGGGCAGACTTTTGCTCCTCGTGCTCAACGAGGACATAGTTCCTGGGGAATATGCCCTCCTGGCCGGTTCGGGTGTTCTGGCCCATCCACCAGTCCTGATTCATGTACTGATGCACAACAATCTTGTCATCTTTATCGAACGACACATCGCGGTTATCAGAAGCGACATAACGGTACAAAGCTCGTGCATGGGCAAGCACAGGCTTGATGGATCGGCTGGGTAAGCTTGGCGCGGGCGTCTGGTCGTATGAAGGGGGCCCTGGCGAAGGCGATGTGGTAGTGGGATTGCCGTTGTTTATACCCAGGTTCTGCATCTGCTGCGTGGGCGGGGGCGGAGAAGTAGTGCTGCTTGTGGCGGGGGCAGGACTATCTCGAGCGGCAGTCGTTGACGTGTTGCCGTTTGTTGTGCGGAGAGGTCCCGAGAGGGGTGACTCTTGTGGTAGAGCCGCGTGGATCTGGTCGAAGACTGCTTCGTCGATGACGCCTTTTTCGAGGAGATTCTCAAGTTCCTGGTGAATGATGGTCAGCGCGGTGGTTTAAAAAAAAATAAGACAAGGTGCGCAGAGGGAGTCGTACTGTTTTGATATTCCGAAGCGACCGGTTGGTCTCCATGATGAGCTGGCGGTCGGCGGATACCATTTTGAAGTCTGGTTCAGAGCCGGCTCGCCTACGGTTGAGATGGAGTATAACACGATTTGCAGCGTTTTAGGCTGCCGTTGATGTATCGACCGACGGGTATGCGATTCAAGGGCACTATGTTTAAAGAGACTGGGAGATGAAAGGCGAGGGTGGCGCGGAGGGGCAAGAAGGTTTATGAACAGACTGAGCGTCTTGGCTTCCGTTTCAAAGTTCCGGAGTGGCGCATAATGATTGGGGCCGAAGGGAGGCCGTTGAGGCTGTGCTGACTGGCAAGCCCATAACGTTGCTGCTGCGGGAACACAACACACCGCGAGTGCCCAATCCCAATGCCGACATGCTCAAAAATGCTGTGCAGCCGCAATCCATCAGTTGATCAACATTACAGACTCGTAAACTTCTGAAAGGTTAGAGGACACGCCCGACCGCTGCGTTGTGCAGACAACACGTGATTTTCATGTTGTTCGAAGCTCCGTGGCACAATCGGCCCTCCATTCATAATTACAGTATTGCGGTGCCCCGGCTCCCCGAATTCACCGTCAGTCCGTGCATTCCGACTTGTGCACCTGGTATGCGTGACCTGTAAGTCTTGGCAGTATTTCATAACCAATGCCACGATATTTCCTTCGATGCGCATCCGACATTAAGGTAGTTTCTAGAAATTTCATTTGGCCCTCCTCTATAGTGTACGACCTATCTATAGTTATATGATACTATATCGTACTATGCCATGTGGCCTGGCGTATATTGTGCATTGTCCTGCTGTCTCCTCTCGCCGTTTAGAGCACATCCCCTGTGGCCTATACCCCTGTCACTATCCTCGTATCGGTAACTCCATATCGTGGACACTGGATGCCCGATTTCTCACTTCATTCACGACAGGGGTAACTGGTAAACTTGCTGCATTCAACATTGTTGATGCGGAAACTGTCTGTATTATTCTTGTGCTTGTTCTTTCGTCCCTTGGGCGCGCTGAAGCCCCTTACTACATCGACTTTCTTGTCAGATACACCGGCGTTAACTTTGATTTCCGGTTACGGTTCGCGGTTCTTTGCGCCTCCTTGCTCATTGTCTCACTCGGCGACTTTCTCACCCCCTCACGACATAAAACGTCAAATTTGCAGTTTCTTTTCTAGCTAACGAACATGTTATTTCTCATAACTTTGTTGATTTTACCAGCCACACTGCTGGCGATGGCCTTCTCAGACGATATGCCCCAACAGGCAATGGCCCTTTTCAACGCATCATGGGCCGACAATTATACAGACATGCAACAGCTCCTCGCCTCTGGCGCTAATTATACATTTGCGAAATATGATGGTGTTACTGCGTTGCATGTTGCAGCGGCAGCAGGATCTCGAGCAGCAGCACAGCTACTGATTGATGCTGGGGCTAATATCTCGGCTGTGAACGTCGATTTTGAAACACCATTGCACGTTGCCGCACATTTTGGACACGACGAGGTTTCACAGAAGCTAGTTGCGGCGGGAGCAGATATCTTGGCAAGGAACTGCTATGGCGAAACACCGCTTCAGGTCGCCGCCTCACGGGGCTATCAAGACGTCGTTCGGCTTCTCATACATGAGGCCAAGAACAGGATGATACTGTCCGAAATCCTATCGACAAAAAATAATAATGGAGACACAGCATTGCATAGCGCTATATCGGGAGGTTATGCAATGGCCAAGATGCTGCTCGATGCGGGGGCGGATGTCCATTCAAGAGGTGAAGGACAAGATACGGTTCTTTTCAGGGCTGCAGAAGATTCCGAGGACATGGTCGAGCTGATTCTCGCTGCAGGAGGTGACGTCTTGGCTCGCACTGACGATGGGACAACTGTGCTACATCGAGCTGCCGCTTGGGGCAGTGCAAACATACTCCAGCAACTCATTGCGGTAGGTGCCGACGTATCTCTGGCAACCAATGATGGCCAAACGCCCCTCCATTGCGCAGCGGAGAGAGGGACTGAAGAAAAGATACGAATACTCCTGGATGCTGGTGTTGACATATCTGCCCAAACCATCAATGCCAGAGAGACGGCACTGCACCTAGCCTCAGCTGCATTTTCAGACATGCGAGCCAAGGTTCTACTTGACCGAGGTGCCGATCCTAACACGCCTAAACTGGGCGGAGAGACGCCGTTACATCTAGCAGTTGCTGCAGCCAAGAGAGGAGGCGACGTCTCGGTGGTCGCGTATCTGTTAGAAGCTGGAGCAAATTCCAACGCCGCAACTGATGCGGGAGAAACGCCATTACATGTCGCCGTGATGAATGGTTCTCCGACGTCAATTAGGTTGCTCTTGAATGCCGGAGCCGATCCCTCGGCCACGACACATGACGGAAAGACCCCATTATTGTTAGCACAGGAGAAGAGAACTGAAGCAAAGGCATATTGCATTGAGGTCTCTAAGGAGCCGTGGGCCGAGCCAGGAATGTGTGACGAATACCTTTCGCGCATGGAAGAAGTGGCTATGTTGGTTGAAGAGACGCAGGACACTGGGCTGCAGGAACTAAAGCTGTAGTATCCAGGCTCGCCAACATCAGAGCACTGGATAACATGGTATAACGCCCTTTCCGAGCCCAGGACGTGTTATCCGTCGCAACAACCAAGATGGTTTCGCACATTGTCTTGTCACCACTAACGAAGTGTAAGCTTAAACCAAGAGCGCTTCTATATCGCGAAGCAACATATGGATGGATAGATTCGGCATGCTGGAAACAGAGCCACGTACTTAACATTTACGTATTTGGGGTGGAATGGATCAGGAACAATGTCTTGAACTTGTTGAATGGATAACTGCCTCCGTCAGGGACCGAGAAGACTGAAAATCCGAGTAGTGGCGACATGTTAGCAACTATATATCACCGACTCTCACCCCCTTTCGGCTTATGCACGTCGCCAGCTCAACTAAAGTAGCATCTATTTCGTCATAGTGGTGGGCTGCTTGATGGTAGAAATGAGCTCAAATATCGAAAGAACAGCTTCATGCACAATACCTCTCGTCCGCATATGGGACACGACAGTCCAAGTCACAAATATTTATCTCGAACTACCAGCGGTAACAGTGAACGTCTCAAGCGACCGGCTATGGATACGATTGAGACACGCAATCAACTTTGGAAAAGCTCGTTTACATTCTCAAGCCCATGCTTCGCTGCATTCAAAAAGCGTGGGAACGTCGATGAAGTGAACGATGTACGACGATGACTCCGGCTCAACGCCCGGATTCCGGATTCTCCTCTTATCATGTTGTGACATTGACAACAGCTCGCGGGGTAAAAACATACACCGAGTCTCCTGAAAACAAAACGACAAGGAGGTGGATGCACCTTGCCAGGCCGATCACGGTAGCACAACCGGAACCGTCGCCTATTCGCGCGGACAAACGAACATGCAACCCGTAAACCAAATGCGAGGAATTCCGTCCCAGTGTAACCTGCCCTGTCCTCGGCCCTCGCAATCTTCATTTGCCGTTACTTGGGGCTTTCGCCTTCGAGGCTATTGCCGAACAGTCGGTCGGCGGCATTCTATACATGGATCGAACCATAGAATAGATGCGGACGGGACTTGGCTGTTGAGTGTATAGGTTTTCGCCTTGATACTTTCAAACGGCATCTGGCAAAAATTCGTCCTGGCGACAATCGATTGAGCTCGGCGTGTTGTCGGCTGAATCCGGCATTCGACATCTTCATGGCGGCAGCAGAGTCGTATCGGACGGAGTGAGCCTTTGCCAGGCTCAAATAAAAAGCCGCCTCTCTCACACTTTCAGCATTTATGTCATCAACATCTGTCAGGCCACAACACCACGATGAGTGGAAGCTATATCCTAGCGCTTCTAAGCGCATTGACCCGTACAACTGCAGAAACGTACAACATCCCGTCCAACCCAACTGTCTCGGGCCAACCTTTCGACAGCTTCGTCAGCTACTCTATCGAATTCTCGTCCTTTCCAGACTTTGCCGGTCCGTCTTGCTTCTCATTCCCCAGCCACGGAAGAGTCGTGCTCACACCAATCTCTCAGGCAACCACTCCCACCCCAACAAATACTCATACAACCTCATCAACAACATCCACGCCATATCCAACAACTACCCCGTCATCCGCGTCGGCGGCAACACCCAGGACTTTGCCCTCTACAACGCCTCGCAGCCCACGTCCCTCGTTGGCGTCGTTGACCCCGACAAGTCCCCTGATTACCCTACCACCATCACCATCGGCAAGTCCTACTTCGAGAGCTACAGGACATGGCCGGGCGTCAGGTTTTCCCACGGCTTCAACATGGGACTCGGCGGGAAGACTGCCAGGGGACGTGAGACTCTGGTTGATACCGCGCCATTGGCGTGCGAGGCCCTGCGGCACGGCAACCTCTACACGTGGGAGTACAGCAACGAGCCCGACTTATTTACGTCTGGGACGTATGCGCCACGGCCGAAGGGGTGGAACGAGACGGACATGGTGGCCGAGTGGCTAGCCGGAACAGACGAGATCAGGAATCAAGTCAAGAAGCAGTGTCCAGAAACCCAAGTGAGCTTCATAGCGCCGTCGAATGCCGGCGTGAGCAATGCCCTAAAGGCAAGCAAGATGTGGGCAGCTGGGCTGAATAAACGCGGCGACATCGCCATGTTTTCCACGCACAAGTACGTCTCCCCCCCATTCTACCCCCAGTACTCGTACAACTTTCCCATTCCCCGTCAATTCCTGGTCGATACTGACGGGCACGGGGGGAACAGCTACATCGACGGCGCCAAGGTGCCCGGGGTAACGCTCCAAGGCACACTCATGAACCACACGCGCACCAAGCTCTCCGTCAACAACCACGTCGCCGAGTACAACTCCATCTTCCGCGCCGCCGGGTCGCCGCCGCCCCTCATATTCGGCGAAACCAACTCCCTCTACAACCAGGGACGGCCGGGGCTCTCCAACACATTCGGCGCCGCCCTGTGGTGCGTCGACTTCAACATGTACTCGGCCGCCGTGGGATTCAAACGAGTCCACATGCACCAGGGCACCAACTACCGCGTACGTACGCCGGCCCTGCCTGCCCCCGGGCACACACGAACATGTCAGCTCTAACCGTGAAGCAGTACCAGGCCTGGCAGCCCGTCGCCACCGACCTCGCCGCCATCGGCACCAAAGCGCCCTACTATGCGTCCATAACGGCCGCCCACATGACGCGCCGCGCCGCCCGCGCCCCCGTTTCCATTTCCCACGTCCCGCTGTCCTCGGACGCCGCCGAGTCCGCGTACGCGGCGCACTGCGCCTCCCGCAGCGGAGAGAAACACCTCGCCCGGCTGATGGTGGTCAATATGCACGGGTACAATACTACCGTTGGCGGGGCGGGATTGGAACCGCTCCCCAGCCCGCCGCCGAGGACGGTCCGCAAGTACAAGTTTCGTGTGGAAGGGGTGAGGGACGGTGTGCGCGCCAGTGTGCACCGGCTGATGGCGAATGGGAGCGACGCCATTACGGGCATCACGTACGACGGCTGGAGCTACAATTATGACTTGGACGAGGGCAGGGGCGTCAGGTTGACAAATGTCACGGTTGGCGAGACGATTGTAGTCGAGGGCGGAGAGGTGGTGGTCCATGTGGCGGACTCGTCGGCCGTTATTTTGAGTTTTGGAAAGGATTGATGATTTTGTGCGCAGGACCGAAAGGGGGTGCAGTCATGGCGACACTTGACCGATTTTTGCCTGGGTCTGCGTCAGTTTGTTGATACGCATAGGACAAGTTGAAAAGTCTAGTTAGTTAGTTGTTGCCATTATATATGCGCTCGGCACACACACTTGGAAGACGCGCTACAAGCAGTGGGTAGTAATTGGTCATTATGTCAATTGAACTCCTGGATTCTACAAACACGAGTCCTCTACATTTTTTTTCTGCTCTTACATTCTGGCGACACTTCCCACACACGCAACCTCCCCACTTACAAGAACTTGCTCTCCTTGACAGTGTACAGGTCAACATACTCGTCAACAGACATGTTGTCGAGCTTGCTGCTGTTCTGGCTGAGCTCAACAAGCTCCGCGACACGGCTTGCGGACAAGTGAGGTTCGAGGTGGCGCTTGAACTTGGCAAGGATGACGGGTTTGGCCTCGTCACGGCGGAGACGGTGGCCGAGAGGAGCCTCAACAGAAACCTCGTCAAGGACAGTGCCGTCGTTGAGCTCAACGGTGAGGGCGTTGGAGATGGTTCGGAGAGAGGGGTCGTGGTAGTCCTGGGTGTACTGGGTGTCCTCGACGCACTTGATCTTCTGGCGGAGGGACTCGACGAGCTCCGAGGTGGCAGCCTCGCCGCCGTCGGTGTAGTCGGTGGCCTCGAGGCGGCCGAAGACGAGCATGACGGAGCACATGTACTGAATGCAGTGGTCACGGTCGGCGAAGTTGTCCATGGGCTTGAACTGCTTGTCGATGATGCGGATGCAGGCCTCGTGAGTGCGGCAGGTGACGGCCTTGATGTCGGCAGCGGACTTGCCCAAAGCCTTGAGCTGGTGGAAGATCTTCTCAGAGGCCTCGACGGCGGTCTGAGAGTGGAATTCGGCTGGGCGCGAGGGTTAGTTTTTTTGACTTGACCATTCACATAATACGAGTATTACAGGGCCACTCCCGAGAAGGGGTGGGGGAAAAGGGGCGGGAATAGGAACAACGACATACCAGGGTAGGAGACCTTGAACAGAACATTCTCCATGACGTAGCTGCCATAAGGACGCTGGAACTCAAACTTGTTGCCCTTGAAGAGGACATCGTAGAAACCCCAAGTAGGAGCAGACAGCACAGTAGGAACACCCTGCTCGCCCTTCATGACCTTGAGAGCCAGGTTGACAGCACGCTGGCAAGCATCACCGGCAGCCCAAGACTTGCGGGACATGGTGTTGGGGGAGTGGCGGTAGGTTCGCAGAGACTGGCCGTCAACCCAGGCCTGGGTAACAGCGTCGGCAATCTGCTTCTCGTTGAGGCCGAGCATCTTGGAGACGACGGCGGTGGAGGCCACCTTGACGAGCACGACGTGGTCCAGACCGACCTTGTTGAAGGAGTTGAGGAGGGCCAGGCAGCCCTGGATCTCGTGGGCCTTGATCATGGCCTCGAGCACATCCTTGACGGTATAGATCTTGCCGCCGGCCAGGTTACCGCCGGCCTTGTTGGTGCGGTTGATCCAGTCGGCGACGGCCAAGATGGCACCCAAGTTGTCCGAGGGGTGACCCCACTCAGCAGCCAGCCAGCAGTCGTTGAAGTCGAGCCATCGGATCATGGCACCAATGTTGAAGGCGCCGTTGACGGGGTCCAAGACGAAGGGAGTACCGGGAACCTTGGTGCCGTTGGGGACGACGGTGCCAGGGACAATGGGACCAAGGAGCTTGGTGCACTCCTTGAATCTCAGACCCTCGAGACCACAGCCCAGGGTATCGAGGAGGATCCATCGGGCAGTATCAAACTGAGCAAACAGCGCGTTAGTGTCTGGTCTGATGCCGCCAAGTGGAAAAGAAAGAGAAAAAAAATAGAGTAATGACAGCAATAGATATCCCCCCGCGTCCAGTCGTCTTGGTCAATCTTCAAGCAAACCTCCAAACCTCCCTCTCGACGTTTGTTGTTGGCGGGGTAGCTCCAGAGGTGTTTTTTTTGCCGAGGAGCCCACCCCGAATCGCGGGGGAAGGAACGATGGAGAAGCAGGGACCTCGACAGACGGGCCCCGGAGTAATAGCAAAGGGGAGCAGCGGCAGAAAGTAAAATACTCACAGCCAGGTCCGAGTCAATGGCCTTGTTGGCGACATAGTCGGCAATGTCCTTGATCTCAGGATCGTACTCGCGCGGTTGAGAAGCCATGACGGGCGCACCAGAGTGTCTTGTGGCAGAGGTGGAAAAGTTGCTGCGCAATGTCGAGGACGGAGTCGCAAAGACACGAGCCGCAGCGCCGACGGAGGCCGAGCGGCCCACGGAGAGCCACGACGAACGAGAGACGCGAATCTGCTTCGATGCCGTCCGCAGGCCACGGGTGACAGCAGACATTGTTGCAGGCGAGCGCGATGAGGCCTTGCACAGAGATCTGGAGCGGAGCGGAGCGGTGTTCAATTGACAATTGAACCAGAAAAGGGGGAGTTGAAGAAAGAGTTCAATTGCGGGAAGAGTAGGAAAGATAGGAAAAAATGTTAGCCAGCTCGGCTCATGGCGATGGTTTGTTTGGCAGGCGCCCAGCCAGCCGTTGGTGCGTTGCCGGTCGCTGTATTGCCGTTGCATGCCGCGCTTGCATCCTCGGTTAAGCCGAAAGGGGACGGTTGCGTTCCTTGTGCCCCCATCTTCCCCAGAGCCGCAAACAGTCTGGTGACTCTGGCCTTGTCTGTCTCTCGCTGCTCAGGGTGGCGGCACGCTCCAAGCTCCAATTGATGGGGTAAATTGAACCGGAGAGACGGTGCAACACCACTGGTCGGTGCCCTCTCCCTGGGTTGGGTGAAGATAAATGAAGACAGCAGAGCTGCTGTTGTCTGGTCCCCACTTTTCAACAACATTGTAACATGGATGGCATTGCGGACGAGCCAGCGGATGCTCCCTCCGTCTTAAATCTCGAATCTCGAATCCGTTGCGCTCTACAGATGTATCTGCAAAAGCCGTGCCGAGTCATGACCAACACAACCACCACAACGGCGCCCTTGGAGTATAAATACTCGCCACGACCCTCGATCAAAGACTGCATCATTTTGCTGCATCAGGCTGTTGCACGTGTGGGACAGTATTTGGCACATATTCCAACAAGCTCGCGTCGTCACCCAGGAGCGATAGGCAGTCCAGCATGGCTCGACTACCACCAAGTATATTAGTACCAGACGAAGGTATCATCACCTCTTCAATGTTGGAGAGACGGGGCCAAGCAGGCACCCGTGGCCTCTTCTATCTAAGCTGAAATTGTTCAAGACCTCCTCTTGAAGGAGGCCTCCCCTTTTGGCAGAGACGAACAGAAATCATAGGCCCGCCCGTGCCCACTCCAAGTCGAGTCTCGCGCTTCAACACTGAGTTTACATCTTGGACCGTACCAGACATCCAGAACCTAGTCCCCATTGCCAGACTTCTCCCCTGAAACCCCTTAGGGCCCTTACACCCTTTATAGAGTTTGGCGTTTGGATATTGCACCCCAGGTCCATCTCATTGCCGCGATTATTGCCGTCCGTGCCATGATAGTAGAGTTGAGTTGGGCATCCCGGACAACCAGCCTGTTCTCCCAGCTCTTCGGCCACTCAGACTGTAAATAGTCATCTATTGTACCTGGACACTGTTTGTTCCTCCCAGCAACTAGTTGAACCTCCCAGCATCAGGACACACAACACCCCTACGCTCCACGTTTTGCCACCCCGCAGGCGGCCTCATCGAGCGCCCTATTCCGGCAAGACGTCGTCCAAAAATAGTATTGTCTAGCAACCTCCCGGAAAGGTCGACACCGAAAATGGTGTTTCAACGACGTTTCAAGCCCCGGAGGGCGGCGGAGGGAGAGGCAGCTGGTAGGGTTCATCCGGCAACGTTAACCGCCAAGGTTGCGGGATGAAACGCGCCACCATGGCAGAAACTCACAGCTTCAAGCGCAAAGAAAGTACGGCCAAGCCCATTGTTGTACAAGACACCCTGCAGGACAAGGAAATCCGCAGGCCACCCTTCAAACTGGGCACCCAACCAACCTTGGACTGAACCTGGAACCAGAGACTAAACAGGTCGAAATTCCTGCTAAAGAGATGGCCCGTCGCCAGTCGATGCGGCATAGATGAATGTATGGCTCAAGACCCAGAATCCCAAACCGGCCCAGCGTGCCCCCGGACTCTGAGGATTCTGCGACATGTCAACTGCGGATTTTAATGGATGCGTCCACATCAGACAAACCGACATCATGCAGCAGTCTTGGCCTTTGGTTGCTTTAGTCGCTTAGGTCGCTTTTGCTCCTGGTGCTTGATGCTGTAATCGCCCCTGGCTGGATTCCTGTTTGCATTTCGGCATTCTTGCTGGCCTCTCTCGTTATTACGACCGAACCTAGCCAATAATCTAGCTAGTAAATATAAAATATGGTACATTTACCTGGCCCAGGTACGGCCAGAATATAGTGTTACTGGATGTCGTACATGTTCATCCGGCCTTTACTATTATTACCAACATTTAATTAATTTAATGAACATGATACATCAGGGCAAGACATGCGGCATGATCCTAGAGCCACGGGTTCCTTGTCCTAAAGTCAAACACGGACTTTCTGGCCGCCACCAACTCCAGGCCGCAGCCCATCCTGACGTTGTGCGTCTCATCACCGATGCCGCACAACCCGAGACGACGGTGACAAACAGCCCATGAGGATCAGTGAGCCAGCCTGCAGCGTACTGACGAATGGCAGTCAGCCATTTGAGCTTGACCTCCGACAGGATCATGTGTATCGGGTTCGTTTCCTTTGGCGCCTTGCTTTGTAAATCCCCCAACGCTCGTTGGGTATAAAGGGGTTGGCTTTCCCATCCAATTGTTCCACGACTAATACAGATCCCATCTCTTCTCATAGGCCAACGTGTTTGACTCGATTGAATCTTGTCCTTGATCTTTACTCTCCCCATCACCAGACCCACAGCTGTCGACCTTTGGAAGCCAAAACTTCTTATATAACACCATCCACACATATCAGCAGTTGCAATGCTCTTCACAGCCGTCAAGGTCGCTGCCCTCTCCGCCCTTGCTGCCCAGGCAAGCGCAAAGACAATCAGAATTGATGTCGGTAAAGATGGCCTGGCATTTTCTCCTGATTCGGTTACGGCTGCCAACGGAGACATGTTGGAGTACCACTTCTACAAACAGCACAGCGTAGCTATGGGTGACTTTGCAAACGGATGCAGACCGGCTGCCCAAGGTGGTTTCTTTTCTGGTGTAATGAGAACCTCGGGTAACGGAGAAAATGTAAGCTGTTATCCTTCTGCTGGTCTTGTGGTTGATAATGGCGTGCCCGTGGCTGTAAGCTGACTTGAGTGTTCTTTTTGTAGGACCAGGTTTTCCAGGTCATGGTGAATAACACAAACCCAATGGCCTTCTACTGTACTGTCGCTAGCCACTGTCAGAACGGCATGGTCGGCGTCGTCAATCCATCATCCACGGATTCACTCGACAAGTACAAATCTACAGCGAAGAGCGCCTCCACAAACCAGGCTCCTCCGGCCGTGTTCGGCGGAAGGATGGCCCAAGGCTCAGCGACATCGCCGAGCGGAGCTTCAGGCACAGCTTCTGGTGCCCAACCGACAAAATCGGGAGCTGCTTCGCATATGCAGGCTTCTCTTGGGGGCATCGGTGCTGCTGCTCTCGGATTCGCTGCCTTCCTCATGTAAATGAAAGAGAGTTTGGCTGGTATGTGGGCGTGGTTGTGTACTTGATAGTTTTTAGGCGATGGCAAAACGGAGAACTGATTATCTGGCCATGTAACATTTGTGTCTGATTTGGAAGCACGCTTCATTGTTGCGTCTCTCAAGACTGGGTACTGTGGATAGCACCTTTGCACACGAACTTAATTTACTCCGTACTCCAAGCTGGGATATTTTCTGCTTCCGCATCCAACAGCAAATCCTGCCATTTTATGGGAGTAGAGTCGACATCCCAGGTGATACTCTGCTGTGTGGGAATGACAGTCAGATGTTGACAAGGGCAGAGAAGAAGCGGCTGTCAAGATTCTAGTCGTACTTGCGACAGGACAGTCAGACACTCAAAAGCCACACGGCTGTTGCGACGACAAGCATCTGCAAAGTGCGAGACATTCTTCGCCAACCATGACTGACGACGCGTGGGCGAGCCTTTTTCACAACGCCAATGACGCCTGTCATTAATGAGATGGTCCCAACTAGTAGCACAAGTCAGCTTGGTTGCTAGTTCGTAGTAGTAATTGCTTGCACGGGAGTGCCGAGTACCTGCTGCAGGCCAGGCCCAACCCCCGAAACAAAAATAAAGAAAAGAAAAAGAAAAAAACCGAGGTTAGAAGTGAGGAAAAAAAGTGATGGCACAACGAATGCACGAGTGAGTCGGAATGCCCCGGCCTGCTTACTCCTTCGGAGTAAGCATTGGGTCAGTTAGTGTTCGATGCCGATGGGTGCAGCCCCAGCCATCAAAATCGATGCGGGGAAGTCAAGATGAATCTTGGACTGGCAAGACTACGGAGTAGACCTGCCTCCCTTGATTCCGACCTGTCTGAACTATGCTCGTCACTATGCAAGGAAGGAGCGCGGCACGGGCTGGAAGGGAAAAGCCGTTAAGTTGCGGAGCAAGTCTCTCTAAGCGGCGTCCTGGCCACCAGGGCATCCAGCAATATCCTTGCTCAACATGCAGATTTGCCAATGCACCAAGCGGTATTCGTTTTACCAGAACATGGGGAATTTGAATTTCACCATGTGCGCTCAACAAGGTCTTTTGCAGGTACCAAGTTACTCGGTGCTCCGTACACGTGCAAGGGCGGGAAGGCTGCGCGGCTGGGCAGTTGGCAGACAATCTCGAGGCTGCCTGTGGCACACCGCCCCTTCAATGTTTCCACGCGTGGCGCGTAGGACCGCGGCGGCTCTTGCTTTTTTGGTCAGCTACTATCTAGCAGGCAAGAACGACCGCGTGGGCTGAAAGCAGGTACAAAGTTTGTGAAGCGCTGAAACCCGAAAAGTCTTCAAATGTTACAATGTGACAGCTCTGCCTCTGCAACCCCCAGACAACAACATCCTGAACGTCGCGCCAGCATCGTGTATACATGCTACTCTGCCGGGCCGCCAAGGTACCTGCCGCCAACCCACGCATCACCAGCCGAATTATTGGTCTGGTCCATGCCGGCGTCTAGACATCTGAGTGTGTCCAAGGTGCTCCTCACGAGCTTGCCGAGAGATGTACTACTGCATTCCACCACTATTGACTGCGACGCCGACTTAAACAATGGAAACATCGGGCAGGAGCAAGTCGGAAGAAAGATCCTTTAACTCTGGACCCACCCATCCGCAGCCGCTAAGCCGCCACAAACTCGTCACCCTGGCTCGACCTGGTTCGACTCCGGCAGAGTGGGCTGCAATGCCCCTGCTGCCTCGATCTGGACTGCGTGGAGACGGCCTTTGACATCGGCCACAATAACGTCGAATCTGCACATGGGCACCCGGTCTGGTGCTGGTGCTGGCCCTGCTGGCCCCGAAACCGACTCGGCATGGCTCCTGCCACCTTTTCTTGACGCAATGACGCCTACATGGACAATACTTCTCGGGCTCTGGCCCGGTCCTTCTCCCATCTGAACGGTTGGGAGGGTCAAACAGTCAGTTATTAACTCATCTATGATTCGCATTGGGCCAATCGGGGAGTAAACTGATGTTAGTCTAAACTCTGATAAACTCGGGTCCCCCAGAGAAGCTAGTACCCAAGTCAGTGCCAGTCAAGCTGTCAACGACACAAGAAATACTTGCAACACGGGCCGGAACTAACCCCAGCATTAGCAAACCTTGGTCGAGGACCCCTGCCTCGTATCCGGCATTTTTCTTCCTTCAACTCGTCTGTATTCTATTTGGTCATTCTCAATCAATTTCGCACTCCTCACACGCAACTTGGCGACATGCAAGTGCCGTTTGAACAATTATTCTAACTTGGATTTGCTCCGCCGGCGTGTCATTTTGTCTGTGGAGGGACATACATAGGGACGACACTTGCAAACTCAATTGATCATTTCCCGGTAGCTTTGTTTGATATACATACACCACCAATACTCTCGGCAGTACGCGGCTACGCCATCCCAAGACAACGGGCCCCTGCATCACCATACCGGGCTCCTCAGCGGGCAGATTTGCCCAAACGAGGGCCTTACGAGCCCCGAAATCCGCTACATTGGTTGTCTAGTAACTACCTACAGTGGTGTAGGTACACACATGCCAACACCCTGGCAGGCCCTCAAACGGTTACCCTGGGACTGAACACAGTGAACAGTCCAGGCTCGAATGGTCGTTGGTAGAAGTCTTTAGGCACCGATGTAGAGCTAGTGGGGGAGGTCACAGCTGTCTGGTCTGGTTCATTTGCCCGATTTGCTCTATATTCTGAAGCCGCTTGCTTCCCTGTCTCTTTTTCTCAGGGCATCCACTACCTACCCGTGGGTAGAAACCTAGGCTGGCAGTCTACCCATCTTCACTCGACGATTTCATCCGCTCTTCCGAGACAAGCTTCATGACGTATCATAGATAGGGCTTCAATGTTCTGAAGGCACCGGCATTTCACGCGCTGCAGCATCTCAGATCGTCTGACCCACAAGCCCCTAGACACCAAATACTATTTGTTTCCCCCCGAGCCAGGCTCTGTCCCCTGCGAATTCGTCACGGCTACCTCGGGCCTGTCAGCTTTATCGGTCCCATTGACGCACTTTGTTGTCGACGTGGTGCCTGAAGTGGGCTCTCACAGCTCAAAGGGAGGGAAGGAAAAAAAAGACATACCTGTTCACAATTCAAAATAGCCCCAGTCCCAAAGCCCTGGCTCTTTTACAATTTCACGCACCATCGAGAATCGCAGCTGGTTTTATTGTAGCCGCTCGCCGACAACCTGGCTTAGCCAGTCTGTTTATTGCAAAGATAGGAACAGATCAAGCCCAGCCCGAATCCTCAGCTAGTGACGAGACATGTCTAGAGGTAAACTCTTGGTTTACCTCCTGAGGCGGGACTTGAGAGTCGCTGACAATCCTATCTTGCACCACCTGGCCACCGCTTCCGACCATGGCTTCACTCATTTGTTGCCTGTATATGTGTTTCCTGCCCAACAGGTAGAACTTTCTGGGTTTCTTAAGGACGGCGAGCAGTCACCATATCCCCCAGCTCGAAGTCAGGTGGGCAAGTTCTGGCGTTGTGGACCTCATCGAGCCAAATTTACCGCAGAAGCGGTTTGGAATTTGAAGAGAAGCCTTGAAGAATTGGGCAGTGGCCTTGTAATTCGATGCGGGAGCGTAAAGGACGTCTTCGATCACCTCGTCAATGAGCTCAAAGATGCAGTGCCATGCGTCAGCAGTGTCTGGATGACAGAAGAACCCTCTTGGGAAGAAGTGCAGGAGCAAGAATCAATATCCTCTCTGTGCTCCAAGCGAGGAATTGAATTCAAGCTATGGAAAGATGAAAAGTATTTTGTCGACGAGTGAGTTGTCATTCTTTTCTTATACATGACTGGCTTCGTGTCACACTAAGCATGCTTCTAGCCGTGACACTGGCCTGGAAAACCCAGCGGATTTACCCGATGTTTTCACAACCTATCGAAAGTCTCAAGAACCTCTTCGAGAGAAGCCTCGCAAGGTTTTACCAAGGCCAGCTAAATCAGCGCTTCCAGCGTTCCCCCAAGAAGGGTCAATCCCTGCCCAAGCACATCCCTTCCTTTCGCCAGTATCTTTGGAAGATCTGCAGAAAAGATTAGTGAAGCCAGTCGAGAACATAATGGATAATCCTCCCAAACGCCCCGAGGATGCCACAGATGGTCATCCTTTCACTGGTGGTGAGACAAGCGGTTGGGCAAGGCTGAGGCACCTGGGAAAGTCCAGTGCCATGACATCGTACAAGGATACCCGCAATGGCCTCGTTGGTGTGGATTATAGCCTCAAGTTATCCGGCTATTTGTCACTGGGCTGTCTCACCGCCAGGCAGATTCATGAGGAGCTCTTGAAGCTGGAAGACGGAACCGACGAACAATACAAGGACGCTGTTGGATATGGCGAGGGCGAGAATGACGGAACAAAAGGCATTCGATTCGAACTCCTGTGGCGGGACTACATGCGGCTCTGCACGGCCAAATTTGGGCGGAAACTCTTCAGGCTCTCTGGATTTCGACAGGACAGTAGCTACGACAAGAAATGGAAAACTGCAGACGAGGAGAAAGCGGGCCCCGAGCAAGAACCAGATCCTGCTCAAATCTCGAAGATCCTCGAACGATTTCAAAATGGAACCACAGGGATGGGACTCATAGATGCATCGCAACGTGAGCTCTTTCACACAGGATATACGTCGAACCGAGCACGGCAAAATGCAGCCAGTTTCTTCTCGAAGCACCTGGAGATTGACTGGAGGTATGGAGCAGAGTGGTACGAAATGATGCTTGTGGACTATGACGTATCTTCCAACTGGGCCAATTGGCAGTATGTGGCTGGCATAGGAAACGATCCTCGAGGCGACGCTCGCACATTTAACCCTGTCAAACAGGCTTTCGATTATGATAAAGAGGGCATCTACGTTCGAATGTGGGTTCCTGAGTTGCAAGGGCTCGAGAAGCTTGAGAACATCTTTCAGGTGTGTACGACCGAAGCGGCTGAATTAGAGAGCTGCGGTCTATCCGAAAACATCATGGTCACGGATCCTGTTAAAAAAATTGATTTCTACGTGGACCGCAAACCCAGGGCAACTCGACGACCTTATAATAACAAACGACGAGGGCACCCCCGAGGTGGCCGCCGGGGTGGCAATTATAATAATCAGCATCACAACGGATCTGGAACATCAAGCGACGCAGCCGCCAGTGAGTCGGTTGGTGCTTCAGGCGCGGATGTAGAGGCTAGGAATAAAACCCGACCGGATAGCACGCCACGCCAACTCCAGGATTCATCATGGAGAGGAAACCACAAAGGAGGTCAGCCCGTGAATATGCAGGCACACCACGGCAGAGGTTGGCAATGTGGCGACCACACCCGGGGTCGTGGAAATTTTGGTCAATTCCGGGGTACTTGGCGCCCGTATGGACAAAGAGGAGGGTTTAGAGGAAGATATCCATATGGGCACCAGATGACTTATCAGTAGTTTCCCAACGGAGGGCAGTAGAGACTGCTGGCCGATCAGCGAACGAGCCCAAAGAATTCCGGGCAGCCTGGCACCGACATCGTTGGGAGATGAGTTTAGACGGAGATACACGCTTGACAATCTAAGGCAGCTGCCTCGTGTGATGGGTTTCGGTAGCAAGCCTAGTTTTTGGGATATGAAACAGCAACTATTTCAACAACCAAGCACATGGCAAGGAAACTTGAAAATTTCAGCAGCAGCATATCACGAGGGAGAAAAGAGGGGTTGGGAGAGATGGACATGAGCAAGTCCCAAAAAGGGCGGCAAGCCTAATGCCTGATGACTGGTTCCTTATTTTTTGCGTTTTGCCTCTTGACTACCTAGGTAGGTAACTCATGATACATGCACACACGAAACAGTACATGAGTAGTAATAAAACATGCAATAGCACAGCGTCGATAAGTTGAGAAGACAGCCGCGTAACATGACGAATCTAGAGGCCGTATTTCTTATCCTTGTCGGCGACGAAGAAGTCCTTTCCGGTGGTTTCCTTGTACTTGTCGCGAATGAAATCAGATATGGCCTCGTCCTTGGCCTGCTCTGCCGCGCTCTCGTTGGACTGGTCGCCTTCCCCGAGGACCTTTTCTTGAACAAAGTCGACGGCTGCACCTGAGAGTTAGTGCTCGAGTCCAATCAACCCAGAAGCGTATGGAGCGGCACGGCCATGCTGTGTTACAACCCGATGCATTCACATACCTTTATCAAGCCCATCCTCGTTCGCCTCGCCCTGCTTGCCCCCACCAGCCATGCTGTTAAACGAATCCATCAGCTTGGCTCCAGCATCACTGTTGCTGCCGTTGCTTCCCTGGTTGTTCTCATTCTCCCGACCCGGCTGGTTGTTGCCACTGCCACCAATCCCGTCGGCCACTTTCTTGACAAAGTCCATTGTAGGAGGGGCGAGAAAAGAAGAGGGGGGAAAAGCCTCGACGAATGATATCCTTGACAGGTGCCGTGCAGGATGCAATGCCGAATACGCCGCGAGAGATGTAAGATTCGAGCAGAAAATCAAAGACTTGTCTCGCGGAGATGAGTTGATGCTGCAAGATGAGCCATGACTCCGATTGAGGGGTGGTAAGTCGGTCGCGCAGGAGATGCCCTCATTGGAGGGGATACGTCATAGGCTGGGTGCGTCATCGCAGAGGATGTGGGCCGCGCCATCTCCGGCCGTGAGCTTAATGGCCATGACTTTTTTTTTTCACAGAGACATGGCGAGAATGCTGGTTGCTGCGCGCGTCTGTGGTTCTGGATGCCGATTCAGGTCTCAAGTGGCGTGGATGGTTCAGCGTGGCCGCCATGGCGGTTGGGGAAACGAGGATCAAGGTGCAAGTTCAGCTTGACAGGGTTTCCCCACCCACCGTCTCGGATGAGATTGATTGTTTTTGGGATGCACCGGGGTCTGGCTTTTGTCTTGCTTTTTTTGTCCAAGTGGGCGCCGGGATGATCCATGCGTATCCATGCGCAAGATGCTCAATGCAGTAGTTTTCTGCAGCAAATTCGGGATACGTGCTCAGAGCTGGATTTAGTTTTGTGGTCTGGTGGTGCGTGGGCAAAGAGGCAACATAGCCTTGTATCAGGAAAAGTTGGGCAAAAAGGCTGCAAGATTTCTGGTGTCTCATCAAGGTCGGTCTAGTTGGGTGTGGGCGGTTTGGTACCCGATTGGTGGTGTTGACTACGTTGCCATCGACTTATACCATCATGGATCGGGAATTTGGCTTGATGCTATTTGCACCAAGTAGTAGTATTGAATATTTCAATGTGGGCTCCGGGAATATGCTGCATCAATTCGGTATCCTACATAATCAGGAGTGTTTGCCAAAAGCAAAACAACTTGCTCCGCGTCCACGTCCTCGCGCAGATGCAAGACCTCGGGGTGGGAACGTTTGAAACAAGGACGATTTTCATCGGCCCGCCCTCCGGGTAATTCTAACATTGAGATCGGTCTGGCTAAACAGCCCTGCGTTGAACGACTTCCACGGATTCAATGGGTTAAGCAGCGTAAAGTCGAATCGTCGAAGGAGCTGAACCCAAGTTAGCATTTTTGTTCAGAGGCGAAGAAAAAAATACCAATACCGAGTTCGTATGCTCACCTCGACATAGACCTTGTTCAATTCAATCATGGCGATATTCCGCCCCAGGCATTCCCAGCGACTGCCGCTTGCAAAGGCCATCATGACAGTCTGTTCCATGGGCTTGGACTTTTCAGTGCAGTCCAGCCAGCGCTCTGGCCGAAATATATCGGCATCATTGCCGAATACGTCCCGGTCTCGCATGATGGACCAAGGGGACCAGGCGACGTTTGTGCCTGCGGGAATGGGCACTCCGCACAAGACTTCATCTTGGGTAGAAACCTTGGGATACAAGGCTGCCGCGGGGGGGAACATGCGCAAACCTTCGAGGATGACGGCCTGGAGGTATGGAAACCCCCGTGCTTCGGCATCGGTGATGGGAGACGAGATGCGTCCGTTCTCGATTTCTTGGTCGATTTCAGCTTGCAGACGTGCATATACCTGTGGTGAAGTCATGATGAACAGCATGGTCGATTGGATGGCCGTGGCAGTGGTATCCGATCCGGCGATTAGCTGTACCAGTGCCTCTGTTTCGCTGTCCTTTTGGTCCAACCCGTGCTTTACAAACGATCCCAACATGTCTTGTTTGACGAGAGGATCAGCGCCATACCGCTCGCCAACGGTTTCCTTGGCAAACTTGATTACGTTGCCGACACCAGCCATATCCTCGATCCGGGGCATGATCCATTTCAAGTAGGGAGACTGCAAAACACTAATCATGCCGGGTATGAGTGTAGTGGACACCAGGATATACACGGTCTGGTTCGTAGTTTCAATGTAGCGAAACTTGTCCTGGTCCTCGACCAGATAGCCCAAGGTTTTGCCAAACGCAAGCGTGGATATGACGTCGAGTGCAAAATACTGGACCTTTTGTGCAAGGTCAACAGCCTTGTAGCGGCTCTGGTCAGTCGACACATACTTTGTGTCTATAAGCCTGACCAGGTTGGCAATTTGGTCGTCGATATGCTGGTGCAGGTTGTCGACATCTTTGCCACCATAGCCGGGGAGCAGCTTGTTCCGGATAGCATTGTGCAACCTGTCGTCTATGGTGGAAAACGAGCTGTCCCTGTAAGGGTCGATGCGCATTCCGCGATACCACCATGATCGCGTCCAGTTGGATCTCACTGCCCAGATGCGGCGGAGCTCAGAGGCATCGCCGCATACGACCCAGTTGGGGCCGATTCTCGCAACGGGTCCTACGGAGATGATGGGTTTTGTCTCAGCTCACGGCTTGCTTCTTGACTTATTATCGGCCTTGGTGGCACTTACCGTATTTCTTGGTCAGGTCGTGCAGGATATGGTGCATCCGTCCCGTCAATTGCGTGAGCACAAGCCAAAACGGCGTCCAGGCCGCCCACCAGGGGCCAGGAACATGGCGTAGACGCAGGAACGACGTTAGCTGGTAGGCGAGGGCCAAGGTCACGATCGAGGCTGCCACTGTCGAGAACCACGACATTGCGGGCAGTTACAGACTAGTATGATGAAGATTTTGTTGCGGGACGCGGTGGCAAGGATTCGAAGGAATTATGTGATATATCACCAGTGACCACACGGCTGGGACGCTGAATCACGTGCCGCGTGATGAGGCGCCCGGCTTCATGCGTCTTGATGCATAATCCCGAGTCTATTGTCGTACGCACCGTCGCCTTTTGGCCCCGAAATGACAAGGCGTTTGAGACAATATTCCTTTGGCGCCTGTATAGGTGTACGATGCTCAGGCATGTCTGCGAGCGGTGCGGATCTTTGAACGAAGTTGGTGGGTAAACGGGTTTGTGCGACGATAAACTCAGCAACAGGGGATAGCAGGTCCCTGGCATCTTCACCTTCTTGGGATATAACTTTGCATACATGCTGCTTTAATCCCTCGATGGCGTCAAATTAGTGCCGATCATGATACTGATCCAAGAGGAAGTCTCTCGCCAATTGATACATGTCTAAGCCTGAGAAGCAGTTTAGCTCAACGGCGGCAAAGCCATCTTTGGCGCCTGCAATTGCCATATAAATAGCTGCGCTTGCGAGCTGCGAAAATGAGCATCAACCTGGACCGTTTCGTACGATGTTACTCCGTATGGGCGCCCCCAGGTTGACGGTGGAGCATCTGGAAGAAGGGGAAATAGGCTTAGAGTAGTAGTGGCCTTTGCCACAGGACAGGCGGAATAAGCGACATTTGGGCCGGCCGGTTGCTGGAAGCGAGAGTAAAGTAGACATGAAGTAGCATCGAAAAGAGATTCTACTAGACTACAAAGTAACCGTCATGGTAATATCAAAGTCGTGAGAACCAACGCCCGCATTTCGATGCTCAGCTCTCCGACTGGTACTTCCGGGAGCCACATAGCCACGTTGATTAGAAATTATTCGAACACCGTTTCGTACTATGTCGGTGGAATAGTGAGTATGGCCAAAATCCCAGACTTTGACATGGTCCAAGCCATCTTAGGCACCATCTTGGGTAATGAGGTCGGTAGCGAAAGCCGCCGTCCAAGGGTTGTTACTTCGTACTATGATCAGGACTGGAAGTGCCTTCTATACACGGTGCAAGGTGCGTCGCCACTAATGGTTTTCTAGGCTTCTGCCCTCCTTCCGCTGCCAGAAGAGCAATTTGCTCGCGTAGTCAAGCAGCCTCGACTTGATGAATCTCGTCGTGCTTTTGCGGGTTCCAATCGTCGATCTTGCTGAAATCGTTGATCTTTAACTGTACAATATCGTACGCGTGATTTGGTATTGAGGACCAGAGTGTGCAGTCTAGAATATTCATGTCGGAATCTGGACTATCCCATCGAGACTGGGTTAAGAGCACGAGACGATCCGCAAACAAAGGGTCCTTGACTCCTTGGAGAGACGCTGGGCTGTTGCCAGGCCCGAGCCATGACCAGTGCCGTAGAACTCGTGGTTTCC